CAAGTCCTGCTGCAACAGGTGCCCAAGTGGATGCGTGTGGCATGTGCCCCCCCCCCCTCCCGCCCGTCTCTCCGTCTGTCTCCGCTCCCCACACAAACACACGCAATTCCCCGTGCGCCGCATTGCATTGCATGCATTCATTGTTGTTTTTTTGTTTTCTTCCCCACGCGTGCCCGGCTGCCCGCCCCCCGCTTCCCTCCACCCAACGGGGAGGAGAAAAATAAAAATAAATTAAAAAAAAGAAAAAAAGAGGGGAGTCATGGAAGCCGCATCAAACACACACACACACACAAGCACACACGCACGCATGCACCTCAAAAAAAAAAAAAAAAAAACTCCCAACAAAAAACAATAAAACACAACAACAGAATGAAATAAATATATTTAGAAAGAAAGAAAGAAAGAAAGAAAGAAAGGTTTTTGTGGCAACAACAACAACAACAAGAAGAAGAAGAAGAAAAAAAGAAGGAAAAAAAGAAACAAAAAAAAAAAGGTATCAATTTCAGTGATAAGACTCCGCACAAGAAATATTTGTTTAATGACATCAAACACTAAAACTGATAGTCATGGGGAAAGGGAGGGGAATGGAGTGAGAAGGGGAGTGAGAAGCACAAACAGAAACGCACACACGCACAAAAGCACATATCCACACATATATCTATTATGCATAGATGTGTGTAGATAGAAATAAAGATATATTTATATTTATATTTATATTTATATTTATGAGAAAAAGAAAAAGAGAGAGAGAGAAAGGGATAAGTGAGAGGGACTGGGGAGCGGTAGGATGCGTACATGTGTTCGCATCACTTCCACTTCCACTTCCACTTCCACCCACCCCCAATCGGCACCGCCGCGGGATCATCAGACGTGTTCCTGTGCCATTCCCACCGATCCCCACGCACGGAGAAATTCCTTCCTTCCTTTTTTTTTTTTTTTTTGGTTGCCTTCTTTCCCCCTCCGCCCCCGTCTCTCTCCTCTTCATCACTCCTGAAGAAAAGAGGCGAAGACGTCACAAATGAAAAAAACAAGAAACATTTGGCTTTCCTCCTCCTCCTTCCCATCATCTTCCACAACCCGTGAGAGGTAAAAGGAAAGGGTGAAGAAAAAAGAAGCAGAAAACAGCCTTCCTGCAGCCGTAGCAGCGGCGGCAGAAAAAGAAGAAAGGAAAGAAAAAAAAAACACACTAAAACCCAAAACAAAAATCAGCTTTTTTCCTTTTCATTTTCTTTTTTTTTTTTTTTTTTCCCCTCCTCCCCCTCCCTTTTTTTCTTTTTTTCTTTCTTTCCTGCATAAAAAAAAAAAAAAAAAAAAAAAGGTGACGACGGTTGCCGCGGTCATGCCACCCACACCGGTGGGAAGATAGGGAGGCATGAATACTGTTTTGTGTAAACATATATATGAAGGGGCTGATCGAAATCAATTTATGAATAACTACATAAATATATGTTTAGGGGAAAAAAGGAGGCAATTGAAAAGAAAGAATAATAATAATAAAGAGAGAGAGAGAAAAAAAAGTGCGCATTTTTTTTCTTTTTGTCTCCATGCACCCACCACCCGGCGCACAAACACCTCCCAACGCTTCTCTTTTCATCCATTCATATATATTTTTGTTGTTGTTGTTGTTGCTGTTGTTTTCGTTTTTGTTTTCTTTTGTTTTTGTTTTTCTCGCCGGTCACGTGTTTTCAAGTTCCTCCATTTTTTTTTTTTTTTTCGCCCGGCTCTCGCCCATCCTGCGCTGCGTCACTCAAACTGTGTGCATGCGTGTGTGCTACCCCCCTGCCAAGTAGAGAAGCACAGGCAGACCGGCACGCCATTGCACATGGCCACCCGCCCAACAGCGCACCGCGGCCACATCCTTCCGGCGGTGCGGGCCGCAGCACGGGTTAGGGCGGGGGGACGCAACCAACCGCGGCGGCAGCGGGCAACGGAGGACGCGGGTGCGTGCGCGGAAGAGAAGCTCGCCCAAAAATCCTTCCCACAGACACACCACCCCCGCCACAGCCACGACGGCCAGCAACGGGGAGTGCGCACGCACGCACACGTGAAGCGCCGCGGGGGGGAAAAAAAAAAAAAGAAAAAGAGGTGAGGAAACCAAAGAGCAACGGAGACGTCAAGAGAGCAGCACGGTTGTTGGCAAAAAGAAAAAAAAAAGAAAATGGATGCCCCCCAACTTCTACTCTCACGCAGAGACTCTCTTCTAATGCCGCATGTGCACAAAAATAAAGAGAAAGGGTAAAAAAAAAAAAAAAAAAGGAAATAAATAGAAACGCACATAATGCGTGCACGTCATCCCATGCATGTCGACAGAACCTGCTGTTGTTGTTGTTTCTTCCTTTCATTCCTCTTCTTCTTCTTTTTTATTTTTTGCCTCTTCTCCCTGCCTATCCCTTTCCCCGCTTCCTAATGTCCGCGCGGTCATGTGCGAGCAGTGAAGCAGGAAGAAGAAGAAGACGCATCACGTCTCAATGTGGCAATAATGACAGCCGCCAATCAAACAACCCGAAACAACCGACAAAAAAGAAAAAAAAAGGGGGGGGCTTGCAACGTGTCTCAATTCCTCCACAGTCCTTTTTTTTTTCAATTTTATTTTATTTTATTTTGTTTATCCTTTCGTCTTCATTCGTCTCTCCACTTACTTCGGGTCCCTGTAGTTCTAACAATGTTGACTTGAAACATCAAAAACATCTGTTTTCCCCTGCCCCACTCCCTCTCTCTCTGCGTTGTTTCGTGTCCGCCTTCCTTCCTAACTTCTTTTTGATCGTCTCTCCCAGTAAAACCCCCTTCGGCCACCGCCATCCCACATCTCTTCTGTCCGCATTTATATTTTTTTGTGCATCTTTTGTTTGCCCCGTCCTCTTCTTCTTTTCTCCCCCCCTTTTCTTCTTTTTTTCCGTTTCTCTTTTTTTTTTTTTTTCGGTTACTTGCGTTCCGTCTTCCCCACTCGGCATTTCCCCCCACCCCTTTCCCTTTCCCTCCCCACAAGAAATTTAAAGAAGCGCGGTGCCAAGTTGTGGCTTCACATTCCTCAGCACCTCAGCATCGACAACGTCCCACCTCACGTTGCCTTCGCCTTGCCCTTGTTGCCTCTTCTGCATGCGTGTGTCGGCGCGAGGCGCAAACTGTTTCATCGCCTACACGTTATAATAAAAACCGCATGGCGTTATCAAGCCATTTGAATTGGAGGAGTCTCCGTGTGTATTTGCGTATGTGTGCAGTGGGGCCCGTCGCGCCGCTCCACCGACCCACCCCCCACCCCCGCGCTCTCTCTCGCTCATTCCCTTTCTCGCACCCTTTCGCTTCTTCCTTAATACATTTCGCCCTCAATCCGTTTTCCTCATCTCAGCACGAATGCACCCGCACACACTCTCCCTCCCGCCCACTCATGTATACGCACACACGCACGCATCATATATATATGTATATATGTCCGTACTTTTTTCTTGCTCCCTCTCTTTCCACCTGTGGCCATCCTCGTCTCCCTCCGGCCCGTGCGCACGGTGGACGAAACCGCTGCAACAATCCTCACGGGAAAAGGCAGAAAGCTGGCAGGAGATGAACAGTACAGAAACTCTCAGAGGGAAAAAAAAGAAAAACACCCCCCGTGGCCGACCATTCGGGAGGCTTTTCTCCTTTTTCACCTCCGTATTTTTGTTTGTTTGTTTTGTTTTTTATTTCCTGATTGTTTTTGTTTTTGTTTTTGTTTTTTTGTCGTTTTTGTTTTTTGTTTTTGTTTTTTTGACTTTTTTTTTTGTTTTATTTTTTTTTTTTTGCGTTTTTGTAATTTTTTGTTGTTTTTTTTTTTTTTCCTTTTTTTTTTTATTTGTTTTTTTTGTTGTTTTTGTTTCGTTTTTTGCAGTTTTCCCTTCACAATTGTTTGTGTTCGTTCCTTCGGTTCCTTCGGTTATTTTCCTGCCCAATTTTTTTTTTTTTTGCCATTATTTTTTCTTTTTTTTTTTTTTTTTCTTCCGCCCCGCTCCCTCCTCCCCGGCCCAACATCTTCCTTCCGATCCAATCCAATCGGCGCATCGCCCGCCTTAGCCAGTAGCTGTTGGCTGCGACGACACGCAGGCAGAGCTTTCACCACTGGCTGTGCCGGCGTCACCAGCACGTCGCCCTCGGCCCTCGCCACTCCACCTCCCACCGCCACGTGACTTGCCATCACCACCGCCACCACCACCGCTGCTGCTGCCAACAGCAGTGGAAGCAGTGGCATTGCCCTTGTTGCTCCCACTAGTTGTGCGCTGCTCCTTCTCCTTGCGAGCCCCGGGGGACGAGTGTCGCATGGAGCGAGGCAGCGGCACCGGCGCGTTCGCCGCTCCAGCACTGGAGCTTCTACTAGCATTCGGGTACTGCCCGCCCTCTTCGCGGTCCTTTTGGCGCCGACTGCCCTCCTTCTTTTGCTTGATCCTCAACACTGTCTTCGTTTCCATTATGCATCGTTGAAACTCCGGGTGATTGGGAGCAATGTTAAGAATGGGACCGTTTTGGCCGTACTGCTGCATGAAGAACAAAGCAAGTGTAAAGTCATTGATTGCAAGGAACGTGATAAGCAGAGTACGACGTCCACGGCGACTGTTCTCAGGGTCAGCTGTGGTGTGTAGTACCTGAACAAATTCAGCACGCTCCCGCTCCGTGAGGGACTTCTGAGGAGGATAGTATTGGATAAAAACATCCACGTCCATGAGATCCACAGCCGTAAATGCATCCCAGCCAATTAGCAGTGCAGAAAAAGACTTCCCGTTGTCACCACTGTTACCGGCGCCGGAATTGCTGTTGGTCCTGGTATCACGCAGAAACCCCATTAGAGTGGACTCCTGCCGTTCCGCAGTATCCGAGCGCAGCATGCAACTCATATAATCCGACCCCCTGCCGTTTGCCTCGTTGCCAGTTTGATACATCCCCCATTTAGCTATGGTTTGGTGCAGATGTTTTATCTCCTTGTGATGGGTCAAAATCACAATACGACGAGAGTGATACATTTGGAGCACACGGTGCAAAATTTCTTCGCGATCCCGCTCGTCCAAGTATAGAAGATGCACCAACTGCGTGGATGAAGGAGGCAGTGTGCCGGAAGCTGTTTGCAACGCCGACCCCGGTGGAGCGGATGGACCTTGAAGATGATAATACCGTCGATTCCTGCGGTTCAAGCGGTATCTAATGCCAAAACTCACCTTCGTCAGCGGCGCAAGATACATCAAGAATATATTTGCAGTTTGCCGCGACGCAGTTAAGTTGTTCGATGAATGATTTGAAGTAACCGCATTGCCAGACGGTGATGGTGCCAAAGCCCGCAGAATATCCTCCAAGTGTCGTTCATTGTTGCGACTCGCATCCTCCACAGCAAGTGTCGTGATGGACCGGAGGAACTCTCTGCTCCACGAGCGAAGTACACGTAGTGTGGTAATAAAGACGCGCCCACCTTTGGAAGTGGACACCGACGCCGATCCTGGTGCCCCTCTTTCACCACTTTCACCGGACAAGCCAATCACCGGTGGTGTCGGCTGCCCCTCATTTGTCAGCATCTGAAATTCAACATGGCAGTGTGATGCAAAAGCCTTCATGCTTTTCTGAAGCTGCGCGGCGCAGTCCTTGCTGCTAGCCACCACAACCGCCGTGCTGCGTGACGGTTCCCTCGAACACATTAAACAATGCGTAACGAAGATTGTAATAAGCGTGTGCCGCTCCGCAGTGACGGCACGCGGGCTCGCGATGCCATCCGCGCCAGCAGCACCGCCGCTGTTACTGCTTGGGTTCACACCACCCGCCGCCCGCCCGTCCACCATGACGTCCGCGAAGTCGCTCGTTGTGTTAGCCAACACACGCGCCTGGAACGGTGTCGGGTGGATCCCAACTCGTCGCAGTGCCGACACCAACATAGGGTGCACGCCCAGTGACTCAAATGACGGTGTCTTCCCCATTTCTCCACCCGCCCACCCCCTTCCCCTTAAAACACTTCTCCTCTTTTCCTCTGTCCCCGTTCGGTCCTTTGCAGGCGGCACGCGCGCGGGTGTGGCGGAAGCTGCGGGGTGCGTGTGCCGGCGGAGATCACAGACAAGAAACGCACACACAAAAAAAAAGAAAAAGTCAACAATAAAACGATGCCGCTGCCGCGTTACTGCAGAGGTGGCGCGACCGTAAATTAAACAGAAGGAAGATAAAAGAAAAAGGAAAAAAAAAAGACACTCTAAACGTAAACGCGACACACACACAAAAAAAAAAAAGAAGAGAAGAGAAAAAATAAGAAAAAAAAGAAGGAAAGCCGGAGAAAAACAGACGCCATCCGGCACATGCAACAACCAGAGAATTCAAAAAAAAAAAAAAAAAAGTGAGAGAGAAAGAGGGATAAAATGAAAAAAAAGAAATCCCAATTTATTTATTTTTCGGGCTTTTTTCTTTTATTTTCTTTTCTTCCCTTTGCCTCCCACTAGTCGTTGATTTCCTCTCGTTGTACTCCGATAATAATAAATAAATAAATAAATAATAATAATGTAGGGAGGAAAGGGGGTGGAAAAACGGTTGCCCACTTTACTTGCATCCATGTACTTCACCTCCGGCCCCACCGCCACCGGAACCCAAGCGAACAAACAAACAAAAGCAGCATCGGCAGAAGGATCAGTAAAAGAAGATGCGTGTGTGGGGAAGGGGGGGAGGAAAAGACGAGGTACCGAGTATGCGCAAAACAACTCATCTTTACAGAAAGTGCAGCCCGTGTCCATCCATATAAGGCAATGCTGGTGGGGAAGGGGCTAAAGCAGAGTCTCCTTTTTCTTAATAAACAATAGAGAGGAATTGCCACCTCTTTTTCAGCGGTTGCTGTTTGTTTGTTCGCCTTTCCCGTGTGGCATGGCCGTCTATTTCCCGTCGCTCCCCCAGCCTCACTGCAGTAAAGAGGGACGAAAGAGAAAAAGGAAAAAAAGGAAGCGCTTGTCAGTACCTCCCCTTCTCGTCCTCCTCCTCCTCAACTACGATGGACGGAGACCGACATGAAAAACAAGCGCCTGTCGCTCCACCGTTAGGAGAGGTGCCATTATTTACGACGCCGTGTAAAAAAGAGGTGGGGGAGTTTGCAGTGCGCTGTTGAAGCTGTGGGACATGTGAAGTTGACCGCTGCCGCACCTCCTGTTGCGCTGCCAACTCCATCTTTCGCAGCTCCACCCTTCTGCATGCTTCCTTCGTGTTTGGCACCACCGCAAGCTCTTCGCAGCGCCGCAACGCAGCGAGGAAAACATCGCGCTCCAGGACCAACTGCTCCACCTCAAGAGGGGTCTGCGGTATCGACTCGAATAAATTCGAGAGGTTCGAAAGCGTTTGCTGCAGGTGTTGGCACCGCTCCTCAAGATCCGCCTTCTCGTCTTGAAGGATGACAACCGCATCGTCCCTCTTGCGCAGTTGAAGATCCAACCACTCCAACCCACACAGACGCTCCAAGATGACATCGAGCCGTCGCTGAAGCGCATCGTTGATGCCGACCTTCCCTCTATCACTGCGTTCGCCTTCTGGGGAATCGCCCGTCCCCTCAACAAGGCCTAATGGCCGCAGCAGCGTCTCCACCGCGTGGCGCATCTCCGCCTCAAGTTTGTCCAGCAGATTCTCTTTTGTGCGCATGTGTTCCAGCTGTGACTGCGCGGCCTCCCACATCCCTTGCGTCTCGGATAATTTGAGCTGCAGTTTTGCCTGCTCCACCTCCTTCTCGTGCAGCAGCTCACGGGCCTTGGCAAGAGCGCCAGTCAACCTGCCCAATCGCGTCTCAAGATCATTCGCGTCCCGCCGCGCCAGCCTCAACTCTGCCTCCTTCTCCGCAACCGTGGCCTTCATTGCGGAACCTGATCCATTGGCCTCCGCGCCACGCTGGCCACCAAATAAAGGTGTAAAACAAAAAGAGCCTGACGCTGCTCTATCTACTCGCATCTGCGCCATTTGTCGCTCCAACTTTTCTACGCGTGCGGCAAACCGTTCCGCCCTTCGTCCTGCATCCTCCAGTGCGAGCACTCCATCAGCACGCTGTCGCTCCTTCGTCTCGACATCCTGCTGGAGCCGTGTGATCGTCTTCAGTAGACTGCCCAGGCCCTCATTCATCTGCTCTGCGGAGGCAACAGAGGCCCGTTGACTGGCATGAACTTCCTCCTTCAGCCGCATTAACTTATTCCGCAGAAACGTGTTCTGCCGTCGCAATCCCTCCACAGCGTCCTCAGTTTCTCCACCGCCATGCAACCTTCTTCCGGGGTCTAACGTTCCCCCCTCTTCCTTTAGTTTCACGGAAGAAACACTCTGACGTGTTGCGACATCGCCACCCTCCGTCTTCATCTGACGTAACTCTTCTCTTGCAGACATTAGCTCCTCCTCCAGCTCCTTCACACGGCGATCGTAAAGCCGCCGAATCGCCTCCTTCACGACCTCCAGAGGTATATTCTGCGGAGAGGCCACTGCTGTAGCTGCATTCGTCGAGGTGCTCTCCTCTTTTCGGGCATCTGCCAACGTCTGTAAAAGCCGATTGTGCTCGTCCGACAGGGAGCTGAGCTTCAGCTGCAGTGAGGCATTCATTCCCTCGGCGTTCATGAGCATCTCCCTCATGGCATTCCGCTCCTGCAGAAGACGGGCCAACTGATGCGCCTTGGAAACCTCATCCTCACGGGTCTTACTGTCCATTTCGCTGCTGGCACGGCCAGACATGACTGCATGCGCCGCACCGTCCTCTGGCAGAGCCGCAGACAAAAAAGACGACGGTGACCACGTGCTGGCAATTTGCACATCGCGCCGTGCCCGTTCCACAAGCGCCAGAAGCTCAGGAAGGACGCCGTCCTTTCCCCCCGGCCACCCCGGCATTTCCCCCTCGCCGTGTTGCTCCCGCAGCGCCCTCTCAGCGAACATTTGAATTTGCTCAAGGCTCGACGTGGTGGCGTCCACCAAAAAAAAAAATCGCCGCTGAAGAGCCGTCAATTCTTCGTGTTGTTTGTTCATATTCCCATTGCGGGAGGAGGTGCCACTTTCATTGGTGCGCCTCATTGGCGCCGCGTCTCCCAATTTACCCTCTCCTCCTGCATGAATTAAAAAAAAAAAAGAGGAAAAAGAAAAAAGGCGCAAAATAAATAAAACCAAAATAACAGGCGAAGGCATCCCCTAAAACCACATTCACGTGCGTCATTCATTTCAAAGGAAACAAAAAAAAAAAAAAGAAGCACCTCAACGGCCGCTGCTAGATCAGCCAAAAGAAGAAAACGTAAAACAAAGGCAGAAAAAAAAAAAGTTGAAAGCAACAAGCAGCCCACGCAATCTGGCCAATACATCAACGGTTGGTGCGGCTCAAAGACAAAAACACACAAAACAAAAAATATTGTCCACAAACAACAAAACTTACAGCAACATTTTACTTGCGGATGAGCGGCTTCTTTGGGCCCCACACACAAAAACACAGAACTGCCCTATAACTTCACAACGAGACAGGCCCCAAAGAGACTGCGGATGGGAAGTCGAAAAAAAATATCGAACGTTTTACTGTAATTCCGCCACGCCCTGCTAACGATCCATCCAAGAAAAGTAAAACTACACGCATGAATAAATTTCACCTGGAATTTCGCAGACCAACTACTCGTCATCGTTCACTTTCCTCCTATTGGCTTCCAAGAGTGCCACTAAAATCAAAAACCTGCCATAGGCAAATATATACATCTTCCATTGAAAATGATTTCATCAGGTTAAAACAAGTGACAGTCCAAACCACCTCCTTTCAATTTCCATCAGCTTTTTTTCACGCTGATGATACTCTTTAGTACGGCACATAAGGCTTTGTTGATCGGCGCAATTCTGCGGCCCACTCCGCCAAAGTACGGCGGCCATCTGAACGTTTTTCCAAAAACTGGCCCATATCAGTGCGTTTCATGTACACCTGGTCGGAATCCGCATCGCCCTTGTACGCCTGGCCCATATCAGTGCGTTTCATGTACGCCTGGTCGGAATCCGCATCGCCCTTGTACGCCTGGCCCATATCAGTGCGTTTCATGTACGCCTGGTCGGAATCCGCATCGCCCTTGTACGCCTGGCCCATATCAGTGCGTTTCATGTACACCTGGTCGGAATCCGCATCGCCCTTGTACGCCTGGCCCATATCAGTGCGTTTCATGTACACCTGGTCGGAATCCGCATCGCCCTTGTACGCCTGGCCCATATCAGTGCGTTTCATGTACACCTGGTCGGAATCCGCATCGCCCTTGTACGCCTGGCCCATATCAGTGCGTTTCATGTACGCCTGGTCGGAATCCGCATCGCCCTTGTACGCCTGGCCCATATCAGTGCGTTTCATGTACGCCTGGTCGGAATCCGCATCGCCCTTGTACGCCTGGCCCATATCAGTGCGTTTCATGTACACCTGGTCGGAATCCGCATCGCCCTTGTACGCCTGGCCCATATCAGTGCGTTTCATGTACGCCTGGTCGGAATCCGCATCGCCCTTGTACGCCTGGCCCATATCAGTGCGTTTCATGTACGCCTGGTCGGAATCCGCATCGCCCTTGTACGCCTGGCCCATATCAGTGCGTTTCATGTACACCTGGTCGGAATCCGCATCGCCCTTGTACGCCTGGGCAGAAACAAAAGATAATCGGTCTGATTCCGTGTTCGCCATCCCTAAAAAGGGAACCCCATCCTCTTCAAACCTTATACTGGTTGATTTTCCCAGTCGAGGAGGCTTCTCTCGCACATCGCCCTCCTGAAAGGAGGTAGACCTTACATTGTTAGTCGCAATCAAAGTTGTCTTCTCCGCGGACCCTGACACTTTCGATCGCAACAATGTAAGGATGCTTTTTCTAGACCTCCAGCGGTTTTTGTCCCAGTTGATGCTGTTTGTAGAAATCCGCCGGTTGTCCCCCTCGTTTGCGTCACCCATTACGCTGCCATTGTCCTGTCGCGTTGCTGCCTTGCCGCGTCGTTCCCTTGCCCGGTGGTTTTGATCCAAACCCTCTCGCCACAAACGAGTGACGCCGTTTTCTTCTTCGCGACGAACTATGGGGACATCCTCACCTCGGGCCAGCATGATATCGTTCGCGTAATTCATCAGGGTGACATCTAAGGCGGAAATACTCTTCCATTCTGGCTTTTTCTCCTTCCGTCGCCGCGGCAAAGTCCAAGTTGAGGTAAAACTTTCTGTATTATTCAGTGTGAGGTTCCCATGGACGTAATTCATGGATGCCTCCTGCAGCGACGGGAGCAAAGGGCCTGAATAAAGCGCATCAATGAGAGTAGGCACCTTGTGCTCTCTCCACAGAAACGGTTTTCGTGCGGCAGTTCGGAACTCAACACGGCCCGCCTCCTTTTCCGCCAATTTCAAACCACACTCCTTGCGAAGCACGTTGGCTCCTGCAAACGGCTCCACTCGTTTGAATTGAGACAGCTGCTTAACTTGTTTCCTGTGTTCCCTCTTGTACCACTGGTCAAGTTGCCTCGCTGTATCCACGGAGGGCTTTACATCTATCAGTTGTCTCATGATGATCAGATTCTGCTTTTGCTTATCTGCCTCTTGAACCCCACGGACCCGCTGCCGTGCCCTCGCCTGTTCATCCGCACGAAACCACCTACGTAGCTCCTCTTCCGATGGACGGTTGTTCATTCCCCGACGCTCTCGGTACTTATCTTCATTCACGTCAAGAATACGATCCAGCAGGTTTTTGTTTGCTTTCACAATACGCTTCTCTTCATCCAAAACACGACGCTGCAAACGAGTCATCAGCGCGCATGCTTTCGTCTGCTCTCTGTCCATCAACTCCGGATGGCGGAAGTCCACTTCGGGCGCGTCGGCAATGCCTTTGCCAGGCCGCAATCGTGCCTCTGCAAGCCGGTGGGCATGCCACAGATGCGATATCCCTGCATCCCTCTCACTTTGCTCCAAATAATACCGGTGCTGAAACAGACGGTATTGGGGACTTACAGGCATGTGCTCACGCGTGTCGTGTCAGACGTAAACACAGCACGGCGCAACCCACGCCCTCCTACTCAACCAAAATCTCCGGCGAAAAAGAAAGAAAGAAAAAAAGAATCCAGGCGGGCGCAAAAAAGACAATAATAATAATAATAATAATAATAATAATAATAAAAGACTCTTTGAAAAGCCCAATCAAAACAAGTGCACACAAAGGCAAAAAAAAAAGGGAAAATGGCCTGCCCTTGTGAAAAGGAAACCAACACACATGCCCACATTGAAACGAAAAGCCCATTCCAGCGGTACTCCTAATGGTCCCCTTACACCTGCTGTGCGCAACGCACAAACCCGGCAGGCGTGACCACGGCATCCAGAGGGGAATCCCGAGTGCCACCCCCTGACGCGTCATGCGTGCAAACAGGCAAATTAGTCCCCTCTGGCATCAATTGCATCTCCATACCGACACCCCATGACACCACCGCATCTGCCGCCGCTTCCCGACTGTATTGAAGAAATCGATCGTAGTAGCCTCCGCCCTTTCCAAGCCTGCCACCAATGCTGTCAAACAAAACACCGGGTGCCAACACCAGCATCCATCCAGGGTTTTCCGAGCCGACCAAAAGCCGCTTCTGTTCAATTAAATTAGCGGGCTTTTCGCACTCTGGAAACAACACATCGTAATCATCGCATGCGATAAAATGACGAGGATAATAATCCTTTTCGCTTCTTGCACCCACGTCTGTGCAGAAAAGCTCGTCTATGACCTCACTTTTTGGTTCCGTCAGTTGGTATCGACCACGCTTCTCAAACGAGTTCCTCAGGTCTTCCTCATCAAAGACTTCAACAAGCAACATGGCACTCGAAAACCGTGCCGCAGCCGTTTCCCATGGCCGCTGCCATAACGGAATAGAGGTGGTGGTGGCGAAATTGGAACCTTCCCACGGCAAAAGCACCAGTGGAACAAATATCTTAATATTAGGCACGTCCACACTCTGCATCTCTCGCCAAAGACGGCGGAAAAGCGGTTGGAGGTCTACCTCATAGTAAAGAGGCAAAAAGGCGCAAAGGAGCAGCAAGGATTTTGCTGGCCGTAATTTTCTCAGTGCTTGAACGCGTTCGTACAATATTGAGCACAGCTTTGCAGACTCACTTTGCATAAATGCGGGATCACTTTTTGCAAGTGCACGTAGTTGATGAAGATGCTTTTTTCGAAGACAAGCCTTGACATCAGAAAGATCCCTCATTGCATGCCTCACCAATTCTCCCTGAATCCTATACAGAGCTGTGATGAAGCAAAAATAAATAAATAAATAAATACAAGGTTGTGGAAGTACTGCCAAGTGTTCACATTGCATGGTGTTGGAATCGGCAACAAAATGGGCCCCCTAAAAAAAAAAAAAAGAACAGCGGCAATTATTTGTCGCTTGCCCCCTCTCTTTTCTCTCTTCACTGAAGCAACAGAAAACACCGCAAGCGCATACAGACGCACACAGAAGCATGCATACATATATATGGCTCCTTTCGTTTTCTCTTGATTGAAGAAGCTTTTGCCTGTGTTACACGGCGTGTGTTACTGAGCCCGTGCCTCGCTCCATCAGAAACTCAAAATGGGACCTGAGCATCTCTGATTCTTCACTCATCTGCTTCCCTGTACGGCAGGGCTGTCGCTGCTGCACCTCCTCATCCTCTGGCTCCCCGGCAAGTTTTCCACATGGATCAAATGGTATGACGTGTGTATGGAGATGGGGCACCGTCTGTCCAGCGAGTGTTCCCTGCTGGATGGCAATACTGAAGCCACCCTCCATGTCATCATTGCAGTGAGAAGAGTCGCTATGTGTATTCCCACTATTCTTTTGTCTTGCAGCTGCTACCTGTTTCAGCACACGTATTGTTAGGTGCATGACGCGGCCCCAATCCTCCACCTCATCTAGCGTCAGCCCGTGGATTGTCCCGACACAGCGGATGGGCACCACCATCAGATGTCCGGGCACAATAGGCTTGTGGTTCACCATAACAACAAAGTAGCGCGAGCGGTACGGGATGCAGTCCGAGATGACGACACGGTGAGGAAAGAAGTTAAAGATGGGTTCGTAAGTATCCTCATGCTTGCCGTCATCACCTACAATATGTGGAAACCCAGCAAGAAATACCCGCTCATTTTGTATCGTTTTTTCCATGGCGAGAGCATTTTGTATCAAGGGATCCTTTCCGACGTCATCTGCTTCACACCCAATGCAGCTCACAGTCGTCCCTCCCTCTTTCTCCTCTTCTTCTTGCAGATGCAGCAACCAGGAAAAAAAATCCACCGCATCCTCATTGGTCGCTATCGCTCCACTCGGCGGAACCACGTACCGTCGCTGTAGCTCGTGGTAAATCATGTTATTTGGGAAAAAGTCACCGACCGTCCTTTCAACAATGTGCATAAACGCCGAATTCACCACCGCCTGTGAAGCCTTCTCGGATGCAGCAGCATTTGTTCCCCTCATGACAGCGGCCATGTCACCGGGGGATGAGTAGTTGTAGCTGCCACCTGGGGATGTAAGGCGGCGGCAGTGTTGCAACAACCTGCTCCAGTCGCCAGGGAGAAGATGGTCGAGACGGAACCTCGCCACGGCGTGGGAAGAAACAGGGGTCCTAGAGGGAAAAGAACCGTGACCTTCAGTCATTTGCCCTCTGGAACGGCAGAAGAACTCAAAACTGTCGCTGCCATTTCCAGCGGAGACAATCCAGTGTCGACAGGGGCTGCTGCACAAAGCGAGATGTGCTGGTAGCTGAGCCCCTCGCATGGTTACCCGCCCCAAATGATGATCCAACAATATTTCCCTCTTTTTTTTTTTTTTTCAAAATGCAACGCACTGCCTCACAGATAGCAATTTAAAAAAAAAAAAAAAACACGTACAAAAAGGGAGAAAGACACAACAAAAGAAAGCAAGAAGAAGAAGAAAGAAACAAAAAAGAAAGAAAGAAGAAAAGAGCAACATCCATAAAGATATAGTACAGTTGTTTAAAAGCACATAACAACGCTAATAGACAGGGCAAAAAAAAAAAGTCCGACTTCTTTCTAATCCCACATCTATTTCCCTCGATACCGAGTCCCACAAGACATAACTTTTTTCTTTTCCTCAGAGGGAGAGGCAAATTCATATGCTTCCCTCTCATATCGCAACTGGGAAAGAAGAGTATCCTCCGCATTGGCAGTGAGAGAGCACTCAGAGCGTGCTGCCAGGATGGGATCGACCAGCAATACTGTAAAAGTGAAAGGAGCGATGCTTGACAGAGGATCGGGAGAAGCACGTCGCTTTGTTTCCTCCCACCAACGCAGGGCTGGTGCGCATGGTCCTCGTTCATTTTTCTCCTCCTGGGAGAAGGGACAAACCGTCCCAGTTTCTTCCAGTATAACAGAATAGACATAGAATGACTCGGGAGTATTTGGATGAACTGCATGAGAGAGCATGCGGATGCCATCCAGTATTTGTTGTCCCTGCTCCGCACGGTCCTCGTAATAGTACACATGATCGGGACGGTTCCGAGCAATAAGTGTGTAAAAGGTCTCCAGCTTGAACTTCACCGTGCCGTACGTCTCATGCGGCTTCATGAAAACCGCGCTCATCATATCGCGAAGCCCTGCATGAGTTAACAGTTCCTCAATACGACTGCGAAACTTTTCGTCACGGCCAGTGAGCACAAATATCTTGACGCATTCCGAAGCACCCGTCGCGAGAGCATCACTTTGGCGTTGTTTCAGCTCCTTCAATCGCCGTAAAACAGGTGTCACATACCAGTCTTGGATAGGTGGGGATTTTGGCACCGCAGGCGGTGAAAGTGTTGAGAGGCTTTGAAACCAGCCCAAGCCATTGTCCTGAAGAGGCCTCATAAGCTTTGCGTACACATTTCCCCCGTGTGTTTTTTTCAGCCTTGCAGATGGTTTTGGGGAATAAAATATGGTTCCATCAAAATCAAATACATGTAGCTCCATATTCACAAACACCTCCACACCACAAAACGCCAAAGTGCGCAATATTCTTTGTGGAAAGAATGGAAGTATAGTGCAATATATGACAGAGCACAAGATGGCAGGTGATACCGTTTGGAGAGAGAAAAGAACAAAAAAAAAAAAAAAACGGGAAATCATCACACCATCGATGGTACAGCCTCCAAGCAACAATGGGCGGTCATTGCAATACTCCTGGGAGTGCCGTTTTGTCCCGCCTCTTATTAAACAGAAGAAAAAAGCAATGTCAGGTATCAACACAGAGATCACATCACTAAAGTAACCACAACCACACGGGGCGCCCCAACGGTGACGTGTTAGAGTATCCCAGTGAGCAGAAATAAAGAGTTAAAGAAGTTGCTGGTGAAATAAAAAAGTGGGAAAATTAAAGCCGCATACCACAAGAAACAAAAAAAAAAAAAGTGCAATACGCCTGCTGTTCCCGGTATTGAAGCCGTGCTTGGTGTCATTTTCTCTCGCACATTGTTTCCATCCCCATTGACCTTCCTAAAAAAGGGGGGGAGTAAAGAAGACACGCACCA